TATAATGTGAACTATGAATCTGTGTATGGGGTAAATACGGTGGTAAGTCCGGTTAGGGGGTGTAGATGAATTTGATAAGTTGGCCTGAGTGTCCATGGTGAAAGACCAGAAAACCGCGCGGATAGGAGTCGAGCCTTCCGGTTAATACCGGTAAAAATGACAGCTTGGTAGTACTCGTAGAGTCTACTTGCAGATACCAGCCTAGGAATTACCAGTGACGTATTTACCGCCCTTTGTGATTAAAAAGTTAAAATTTGGAAATTGATGAGATCGTAATTGTAAATGAAATGTATGGTGTTTCTCAAGAAAGACATGAATAATATCTTGAAAGGAGTATTGTACTGCATCTGCACTTGCATTCAATTTTGGCCATCTAACATAAATGTATATACTTTGTTTGGTATTTCTCTATTGGGTTTTATGCTCACCCCTATGGGATTTGGTGTAGGCAAAGACGTGGTAATCCCGCCAAGTTGCGGGCGCGAATAATTGTAAAGAGCACATGGCTCCTCTTTTGTTGTGATTTCTTTTTGTAAAGCCAAGGGCTAACGTGTATGAGTCCGAAAGACCACTTCTGTGTAACCGGACTATTGCCTTGGAAGATGTAAGCCCTTAAGGGCATTTTATTGTTTTGAGATTAGGTGCTTCACATGCTATAGATTCATGTGTATTTTGATCATTGAATGTATATCCACATGTGAAACTTTTGTATAAACTTTCATGTCTAATGTATAGAGATGGAAGGATTACTGTCATTGTTTAATGAATGCTTAATAATGTGGGTAGGTCATGTGGAATTATTTTGGGGCGTTACAACAAATATGGGTTTGAATTTCCCATATTGACAGCAAACTATCTTAGGTCAAGCCCGGAGTGGGCGGGAGTCGAACCAGAAATTTTTCTGGACAGGTTGGCTGGCCACACGTGTGGGTAGTGAAGTCGCACGTGCGGAATTCAGGGGATTGTTTGGCTTTCTCTCTGCTTAAATTACAGGTGTGGATGGGGAAGTGCGGGACCAGCCGCACGTGCGAGGATCAGTGCCGCACATGCGGGGATCAGTGCAGCACGTGCAGGAGATAGCAGCCGCATGTGCGGAGGCACGTATCGCACGTGCGGGGCGGGATAAAATATTTAGGTGGCGACTCTGTATCTGGCAAAGCAGTCCATGTTTGGCACTTCTTTCAAAATCTGTTTTCTCAAAACGATTTGCCGGATTTGGACTCTTTGGTTCAGATTTAGAACCGTGACAAATTTGAGAGTCCTGAGCTGTAGTGACCCCAATATGAACGGAACGGGAGCTCGTTCCTCCCGGGGCGTTCGGGGACGTCTACAGACAGCTTGGTAGTACTCGTAGAATCTACTTGCAGACACTAGCCTAGGGATTACCAGTGACGTATTTATCGCCCCTTGTTATTAAAAAGTTAAAATTTGGAAATTGATGAGATCGTAATTGTAAATGAAATGTATGGTGTTTCTCAAGAAAGACATGAATAATATCTTGAAAGGAGTATTGTACTGTATCTGCACTTGCATTCAATTTTGGCCATCTAACATAAATGTATATACTTTGTTTGGTATTTCTCTATTGGGTTTTATGCTAACCCCTATGGGATTTGGTGTAGGCAAAGACGTGGTGATCCCGCCAAGTTGAGGGCGCGGATAATTGTAAAGAGCACATGGCTCCTCTTTTGTTGTGATTTCTTTTTGTAAAGCCAAGGGCTAACGTGTATGAGTTCGAAAGACCACTTCTGTGTAACCGGGCTATTGCCTTGGAAGATGTAAGCCCTTAAGGGCATTTTATTGTTTTGAGATTAGGTGCTTCACATGCTATAGATTCATGTGTATTTTGATCATTGAATGTATATCCGCATGTGGAACTTTTGTATAAACTCTCATATCTAATATTTAGAGAGGGAAGGATTACTGTCTTTGTTTAGTGAATGCTTATTAATGTGGATAATTCATGTTGAATTATTTTGGGGCGTGACATGAACTACATAATTTACCAATTTTAAAAAATAACTTTTTTTTGGGACTAATTTAAAAAAACAAATCATTTTAAAATAACTTGAGATCTGAAAAATAACTTGAGATTTGATGATTTGGTGCGATCATAAGAATAATGTGTTAATGATATTTTTGAGAATAAAAATCATTTTAATAAATTTTTAATTTTAAAACGAGAGGACTTAAGGCTGCTACATAGTTTTATTCTAATTTAAATTTTATGATTTTTTATCGTTTGTATAGCTCTAGTCATAAGAATAATAATAATAATGATAATAATAATAATAAGTAGGGTAAATTATAATAATGTTACAAACTTGGAAAAATTTTAAGAAGAAAAAGAAAAGAGAAAAAAAGTCCAGAATGCAACTCTTCTTGGTTGAGCATATGGGTTTTACTTAGAGCGAATTGATTGTTTTAGTAATTTTTTTTTTTAAATTATGAAAAGCATATAAAAAATAGAGAGAATGATTTAATATGTAATGACTTTTTGATTAAAATTCTTTACTTCCCAAACAAGTCCTTAGAATCAATGCAATATAATTTCCACAATGTTTTGGATATTTTTATTTTATTTTATTCTATTTTTTAGTTGGTCTATTATTGCAATAGATAGGTCTAACATTGATGACTAGAAAAACATGTCCCAATCCAAAATTGACAAAGTCAGTTCGAAAACAAGAAAGCTGGCCAAAATAAATAAATAAATATACACTAATATTAATATTAAACACAACATTTGCTAAATCCAAACACAAATCTCCAAACATATTTTGACGAAACAACATAGAATTTTGATACAAACATGGTCTTTAATCCAATCAACATCGTTGTATATAGGTAAATTCACTATTCTTGCAATGAACAACTTGAGAAAAATCTTATGATGGCCGAAAAGAGATTTCTGTTATTCTTTTTGGCCATCATTGGCGTTGCAGGCAACGAAATTGCCTTGTGTTATGCATCAATACCGATGTCATCTCCACCCTATACTTCTAAACCACCCAAAATTATACCACCATTGATGCTTTCATTTTCTCTTTCACCAGCTCCATACGCACCAGGACTGGCCCCTTTCTTGCACTGCCCTCTGATGGCATCAAGGGTGGATATTGGCCTTCATCGATAGCTGAAAGGTTCCCTCCATCAACAATCCCTTCTAAATACTTCACTCACCTCTTCTATGCCTTCGTTTTGCCCGATGCCACAAGTTACCAACTCTTTGTCACCCCGCTTGACGATCAGTGGATGGGAATTTCACCGCCACCCTCCATGCCCAAAATCGGAGGAGGAAATTCAAACTCTTCAACTTTCTCCAACATGGCAAGCAGCCACGACACTCGTGCTGCCTTCATCAAGTCAGCCATCGATGTGGCTAGAAAGTATGGTTTTGATGGACTTGACCTCGATTGGGAATTCCCACAAAACCCACAGGACATGACACGCTTCTCAATGCTCTTCTACGAGTGGTGTACTGCCTAGTACAAGTAATCGCTCGCTTCTGGTAAGCCGCGACTCCTTTTGTCTGCAGCGGTCTACTTTTCCTCCGACTTCTTCTTAGCGGAGATTCCACGAACATACCCTGGCGGTGCCATTAAAAACTTCCTAGATTTTGTGAACCCAATGTGCTATGATTACCATGGTTCTTGGGACACCTCGGTCACTGGTGCTCAAGCGTTGCTATTCAACAAGTCCAGCAATGTTAGCACTAGCTATGGTATTTCGATATGGGTTGAAAATGGCGTGCTGCCGGAGTGATGGGGCTACCCATGTATGGTAGGACATGGAAATTGAAGGACCCAAATCAGAATGGAATCGGAGCTCCTACAAATGGGACAGGACCTGGCTATTTAGGGGTCATGAAGTATAGTGATATTGTGGATTTTAGTTTGGCAAACAATGCCTCTGTTGTGTTTGATGAGGAGACCGTGTCGACATACTCATATGCAGGAACCAATTGGATTGGGTATGATGACATGGAATCGATCAGCAACAAGGTGAACTTCACTCGAGCGAATGGCCTTGGTGGATATTTGTTCTAGGCAATTGGATTTGACAAGAACTGGACCATCTCTGAAGCAGGTTCGTTGCATAATATATTTTAAGGTTGGTAACTAGCGTATTAGAGGACTAACCATAGGCATAAGTAACGTTAACTAATTGATAAGTTAAAAGCCCCACATCATTTTCTGTTAGATTGTGTTTTGTTTATATGAAATACTGTGAACCCTTTGAAAAAAAAAGTTCGGTGACATTTGAAAGTGCCACAAAACTATTCTTCTAATGATATTTTTTAGCCTTGTGACATTTTAAACAAGTGTCATTTATACTCGTGCCACGGTAGATACTAGTGGCACCTCAGTGACACTGCAAGTGCCACTACACCATCATGACTAAAGACTTTCAATGACACTTTGATGTCATGATAGGCACTATTTGTGACACTATCAAACGCATTAAAAAAAGATTTAGTGGCAGTTCAGTGACACTTGTAAGTGCCATTACGCTATCAAGACTAAAGACTTTCAGTGACACTTTAATGTCATGGTAGACACTATTCGTGATGCTATCAAGTGCCATTAAAAAAATCCTACAATCTAAAAAATGCCACTATAAATTTTTAATGACGCTTGTTATGCCACAATTGATATTTTTAACAACTTCATAAATGTCACTAAATCCAATTCATTTGTGCCATTAAATGGATATAAGTGTCATTGGAGCTTATTCTAGTGACACTTTGTAAAGCTACTACCACTATTACGAAATGCCACCTATATGTTCTTTTCATTGACACTTTTAAAAGTCACAACTAAGCATGCGTAAATGCTTGTAAAAATTGAATGAATTTTATAAAAAAAAAAAATATTTATTGCCACATCCTATATTAATTTGACATCCATTCATCATGTAATATTTTCATAATAATAAACAAATATTACCACCATAGGGTCATCACATTAAAAACAAAAACAAAAAAATTCAAACCACAATCATTTTTTTATCTAAGAATATAAATTTATGTATATTGCAATACAAATCAAAATTATAAAATATTCTACCACACTAACAAAGTTAAAGCAAAAAAAAATTTAAAAGAAAATTATTCCAACCATAAATTCTGAAAAGCCATAGTGATATCCATCTTTCGAAGAGACAAATTATCAAAACAAATTCAGTTTCCAAGTTCTCAACCTCATTTGTATAAATATTCTCAGCTAGCATCCATAACTTGCGAAATCTGCATCCAAAAAATAAACATATAAAGGTAATTGAAACTATATTAAGTTAACATAAATTTGTTAATTAAATTAGTATTTACAAAAGAAATATACCACAAATGGAGTTGGCTAAGCAACATGAGCTCCAATAGCTTGTCTAATTGTTCTGACAAGTCCATATGATCGAATCAAGCTCTCATTAGGTTTGACTGGCACTTGAACATGTACCTCCCAATAGTCAGGTCATAGTTCTTCCCCTTTTACTTTTTTAGATGGTCTATGCTTTTAAGTGCTCCGATTGCAACTATTTCTGTTGGCCTAATGATAATTTTTAGAACAACTATATCTCCCACCTGTAAATCAAGATTTAACTATTTAAGTAATTATATATTTACAATTAATAAATAATATTTAAAAAATAAACTAGTACAAAGTGTCAGAGTGAAGATGATCACAACTTGAAGTGATATGCATTTCTCTAGTAAATAAACAAGCCACGTGATTTAATCACTTAATTGGGACTTTTAGAAATACCATGTTTACGAATGCCAATTTTTTTTTTTTACATAGATGGGGTTTTAGAATCTTTCTTGAAGTGATGGTGTGAAAATAGATTAGTATTATTTTGTTATCTTATTCATCCTTACAAACAGAAAAAGGGTATAAAAATAAAAATAAAAATAAAAACAGAGCAAAATAATACAAAATTCTACTGAAGCATTTAAACAAACACTTGCAAGATATTATATAAAATCACAACATAAATACAATAATAGTAAATCACAACTAACCTTTTATATTAAAAGATGAGAATTAATAAATTCATGAGTCAAAAGATTAGATTTTCCAAATTGTATCAAGTTTTATGCCTAAAATAAGAAGATCATAAATAAGTGACGAAGATAGAGGTATTGTGTGTGTTTGATGAGAGTGAGAAAGAGAGAAAGAATACCTAATGAACTCTGATCGTAGAAGATGAAAACACAACAAATTTGTGGTGTGGATGGTAGATAAGGATGGCATGAAAGATAAAGAATGAAAAACCCTTACTTCATTATTTGGCTCCCGCCTCTTTGTCCCGCCAAAATCAAATTTGCTTCACCAATTTCAGAATTGTTGGACTTTCGCCTCTATCTCTATCTTGATCTGCTTGGATTTTGCCTCATCAAATTTGGTTTGTGTCACACCCAAAATTTGGACAATTAAATATTAAATTAGAACTAAAGCCCAATTAATATTCCATCATCTAAATCCTAAGGGTGAAACAAAAATCGAAATGTTTTCGACCCAATCTATTTAAGTAAATTTCAATGCTAAAAAAAAATACAAGGGATAAAAAAAAAAAAAACAAATGTCAACCAAACCATCCATCATAAATTCATGACTAACCAATACCTCCCAACATTAAAGTAGCAACAAATAGTCAAAACAACTTAAATAATGTAAAGTTAGAAAATAACCCACAATACCAAACTATCAAAATACCAAAGTCATAAAAAAAATAATAAATAAATAAACTAATAACGACCCTAAACTCCAGAAAATAAAAGAAGTTCAAAAGACATGTCCTTACAACCATATTTTTCGTCACCACCGTAGTTCCAACTAATCCTCCAAATGTATGTATACATAATTCTAGACAACTTTTGTAAAGAGTTTCTTTTCTTGAAGTTCATGGATTCAATGAGAGAGAGAGAGAGAGAGAGAGGGGGGGGGGTGTTACCTCACAAAGCAATAATAAGTTTCTACTTGCAGTGGAGGCCAAACAAAATGGGGAGAGCAACAAAAATTGAGCCATTTATAGTTTATGCTACAAATATCACCGAGTCACTCACCTGTGCAGATGAACCAAAATTCTTAGAGCCCTGCCAGACAACCTCAAGGCTCTTCTCATTTTTTCACTTATCTCTGTCTTGGTAGTCAATTTGGCTGAAGAAAAAAGAGTCAAATCCAACCTAAATGAACAAAAGAACTCAAATTCAATCATCTTGCAGTGTGTAATATGGTAAACTTGTGTGGATCAAATTAACTTCTTTTTTTTCAATTCTTTGGAGATTGTACAATTTTTTTTTTATTTCCTTCATGATAATAATATTCTTTAGTGTCTTGATGGTTAGTGACAAAACCATACATAAACAACAATTACCTATGCTAAGGACTAAACAATACCGACACAGTCATACCTCTGCCCCCAAAAGGTAAGCCTGCACTGCAGAATGACCAAAGGGATTAATCTGCCAACCAACTCTTGGAGTCACAGTGAACTTCTCTTTGATAAACCAGTGCCCAAGTGTAGTCTGATCTATCTTGTCAATATAATGTGAGGCCGCCTCATCATCCATGCAGCAACCACCATTTCTGCACACATTCAAAAAACAGAAGGAAAAAAATTTGAATTAGTCCACTGCCTTAAAATAGCCACTCTTGTGAGCAACGTGCTCAATCAAAACCATATCGGTCTCATTTTCCATCTTTGCGAACTTAAAAAATCAAGCAAATAAAGAGACCAAGTTTTAGGTATAAAATTAAATGGGCATATGCAATTGTATACATCAACTCTAGTTGACCTGTGCTGACAAACTGCTTGGTTATACTCTGGACTGCCTCGCTCTGGTCCCTCCACCATCGCTGGAAAAATGCCTGTAATCAAACATATAACTCTCAATCAATTCAACTTTCAATCTGCGTATCTTCGTGTGATTGTGTCAGTAACAAATCCATTTATATAATACATATATCGAAAAGAAATGGGTTGTTACCTGTTCAATGAAAATGAACTTCCAATTTTTATCAGCCAACAATGCCGGAATTAATGGATCTAATACATTTTGAACACAGGACACCTAAAACAAGCAAAAACTAATCAATATAAACTTGAATACTAATCAAAATTAATGAATCAAATAGATTTTGAACACGGGACACCTAAAACAAGCAAAAATCCATCAATATAAACTTGAATAATAATCAAAATCAACGAATTGAATAACATTTTGAACGCACACTGCCTGAGACAAAAGAAAAACATCAATAAAAACTCAAACACTCATAAAAAAATCAATGAATTTAATAACATTTTGAACACACGTCGTCTGAAACAAGCAAAACCCCATCAATTTAATCTCGAATACTAATCAAAATTAATTAATCTAATACATTTTGAACACAAGCCGCCTGAAACAAGCAAAAACCCATCAATTTAAACTTGAATACTAATCAAAATTAATTAATCTAATACATTTTGAACACAAGTTGCCTGAAACAAGCAAACATAAATCAATAAAAACTCGAATACTGATCAACATGAATGAATCTAATACATTTTAAACACAAGCAGCCCGAAACAATCACAAATCCATCAATATAAACTCAAATACTAATCGAAATTAATGAATCTAATACATTTTTAGCATGAAACAAGCAAAAACCCACAAACATAAACTTGCTTTGCAAATTCTTTTGGGTCATTTTTCTTTGTTAGTACAATTTGGTAATGCTTCACTCAATATGGAGAATATTCCAAATGCTTCACTCAATTTGATGAAAAAAGTGTTTTTCCCTTGATTTGATAAGCATTTTATGAAAAGGTTGGAGATGGATTTTGAGCACTTTTTCCATTAAATTTAAATTTGATAGGGAAAAAAAAAAAGTTTAAGGATTGAAAAAGAACTTTTTTAGTTGCAGCAGAGAAGACTGCTAATTTTTTACCCTATAATCACCAGCCAAAAAGGTTAATTCAAATATGATTCTTCATGTAAGAAAAGGAACATGGAATTTGACTAAACTTTGGAAAGAAAAGTAGCGTAACCTAATTAACTGTGGATAACATATGCAAATACAATGAAAAACTTAAGAGCCATGACAAAGTGACGATTGCACTTATAAGGTAAATGCCTATCTTACAGCAGCCTTGGCCTCATCCATCAATCTCAAAACTCCGGGTGTGGACTCCACCTGCCCATTGACAACACAAATCCATTTTGTTCAAAATCATTCATCCAGAATAATTACCCACATAGATAAACTAACAAGTAATCATAAATGAAGAATAAATAAATTCCTACTTACAGTTCCAGATTTGATAATTTCCTTGTATCTTTCAGTCTTCCAGTCCTACAGATAAAAAACCCTAAAACAGTCCATAAAAATTGCCAACTAATTGATTGGTATTTATCAAAAATATATATATATATATATATAGCCAACTAATTGATGATACAGCCTAAAAAAAATCTCTTCGATTCTTCGAAATTAGCACAAAATCGAGAACTTGCACAGAAATTCAAAGATAATCAAACCCTTTTCGCATATCAAAACCAAAAAATAGAATTCCTCAATGCGTTTATGACTTGATCATCAAATTGAATAAAGTACCTAGAGAGTATCAATTAACATTGCTCTGTCGGCATTGTCCTCAGGAGGTGTCTCGGAGATAGTTGAAGATGGCCAACCGTGCCCCTCAAACAAATAGCCTGAAATGCTAAATGGATAATCAACATAGTGAACCACAAGATTTAAAAAAAATAAAAAGAAAAAGCAAAAGCAAAAATAAAAACACAAAAATTAAATAGAATCTCATGTTATGATAGCACAATAAAATTGAACAAACTAGTACAAAATATCAGTTAAATATTTTAACTCTTCTTGCATTTTTACATGTTAAATTTTATATTTTATTCAATAAAAACTATGCATTAATATTGGCTTTTGTGTATGCTGCTATGATAATCTTAAAAAAGCGATATCAGCATGTTGACATCTTCGGTCTATATTCATACTCTTAAGAGTAAAACTAGAACAGCAAATAGTTCCAATAATGGGTAGCTCAATCACGCAGAAAATTTAGACAACTGATTTTTATTGCTCTTATCTTATGGGCATATTGTCAAACAGATGTTGTGCACATGTATCCATGCAGAGAAAGTCAGCAACACAACAAAGAATCATAGACACGGGACAGCAACCGGTAGCAGATTAATACCAAATCAAAAACGGCAAAAGAACAGAGAATGCAACACTCAAAACCAAAACGCAAAGTAACAGATTGTACGAATCCAAAGAGATTAGGGAACGACTTTAGGTACCGACTTCAACCAACTGATATTTGCAGGCTTCCATGGAATTTGGCGCCTCCAGAACAGTGCCGATCACACCGCCATGGACAAGCAGATGTTGGACAATTGAGTGTTTGACGCTTTTATATCGACAATGCTACGTAGCTCAAATTTTGTGGCTCAAAGTGGCTCAAATGGCCAAAACGACGTCGTTTTGAGTACAGAACAACATAAAAATGGCCAAAACGACGTCGTTTTGGCTATTTGAGCCACAAAATTTGAGGTACGAGACATTTTCCTTTTTATATAGAGTGCTATTAGCACCATCTATTATTTTAGGCCCTTTGGTTGTGTTTGTATCAGGATTAGGGAGAGTGGAATTGGACTATTAGTTTCAGCCAGACTAATAATTTATTGTTTGTTTGAAATTTTTTTTTTCAGACTATTAGTTTCACAAATATGAGACTATAGAAATCATGGGATTGGTATCCCATGGAATTATTTTGTGAAATGTTCATTTTATTTCCATGTTATTACTTAGTAAATAATTAAAAAATGATAAAATAGTCTTTTGAATATTTATAAATTATTTTTTTAGTGTTGTTAATTTAAAATTATATATTAAATAAAAATTTTTAATTATAAATTATAAATTATAAATAAAATTTAATTAAAAATAATAAATTATAAATTATGGCCTTATAAATTAAATTTTTTTAGTGTTGTTAAAAAATTAAATTTACATATTAAATAAATATATATTTTAGTGTTTGTTAATTTAAAATTATATATTAATAAAAAAATATAATTATTAAATTAAATTTATTTAAAAATAATAAATTATAAATTATGGCCTTATAAATTAAATGTTTTTAGTGTTGTTGAAAATTTAATTTATATATTAAATAAAATTATTTTTTATTGTCGTTAATTTAAAATTATATATTAAATAAAAAAAATATAAATTATAAATTATAAATTCAATGAAAATAATAAATTAAAATAATTAAAATATTGTGCAAAAAATAAAATAAAATAAAATTTTATTTAATCTAGCTAAAAATAATTAAAATATTACAGCTATGTTTAATATTGCTATTACTTAGTAAATAATTGAAAATGATAAAATAGTCATTTGAGCATTTATCCTTCTCCATAATATCCGAAACAAATATTGGATAACTAAAAATAGTCCAATCCAGACATTTAATCCCATGACTAAACAAACATAGGATACAAATTTAGTCTAACCAAATAGTCTCGAGACAATGTATCCCAGGACTAATAGTATGATGGATTACAATCCCTCCTTATCCAGTCCGTCCAAACAAGCGCACCCTTATTTCTTTAGATTCCAAGTTTTTGACTTTTAGTCGCATTTTTCAAAATGTTATAAAATATTTGTTTATGACACTTTTTATCTAATGTCATAAAAAGTAATTTTAACTTATTTAGTTTAGTGACATTTTTTTAAAAATGACATTGTTACTAAAATTTAGTAGCATCTGTTGATAAATATTACTAAAACAATTTCTTGCGTCATTCTTTTATAAAACGTCATAAAATTGATGTGACATTTCTTTATTGAAATGCCACTAGAGCCTTATATGTTTGTGGTTCTATGGCATTTTTTTAAAATGTGTCACTAAATATTATTTTTGTGACATTTTCTAAAAATATGACACTAGTGTAGTGTCACTAAAGTGTGTTTTTGTTGTAGTGACTGGATAAAGGAGGATAAGTTATCTTGACGAGGATGTTTTAGTTATTCGCAAAATATGAATCAAATGAGTTAGAATCCGTTATTCTCAAATCAAATACGACCTAAAAAAATCAATTGGGTGGAGAGTATAGTAATTGATCCAATAAAAAAAAAATAATAATCTTAGAATGATATCATCTAAAGTTGTTGTCTAAAATATTTTAAGAAATTCACTAAAAGAGTCTGTGTGATTTGACGTATTTTAAATCAATTTTATAAAAATATTGAAGAATTAGCTATTATTGGTGGGTAGAAAAACTGAAAAAGATTTATTTTTTGTAACATTTTTGTAGCTAAAAAGAGAATATTTAGAATGATTCTAAATAATTATTTTTTTCATATGTATTTCAAATCCATCATGATAAATTTCTTAATATAATATTATTGAAATACATAGATAAACTATCATATCTAAATATGAGCTATTCTTCTTACTTTCTCTCCTTGAATGATTAATATTAAATTCATGCATTTCAAATTCATAAATACAAATGGAGCCTAAATGTTGTGTGATGTATGACAGCTTCCACGGCATGGGACTATCAAAGCTGAACAATGGGGAAGAGTTTGATGAGGGCTAAAGGTTCTATGGATAACTTACATGAGGCCTACAGGGACCCTCTCTCTCTCTCCCCCCGGTAATAATCTCCAATTTGATTCCTTATTGAAGTGTGTCAAATAAAGAGAAAATAAATTTTACATGGTTTGTTTCTTCTTCATTAGAACATTTTTTGAATTAATTTCAAGGCTTTTAATAGAATTTATTAGTCCATTCTAAACTTAGGAAAGAATTGAATTTGGAGTTTTACTGTTTGTGGAAATTACAGCATCTAGAGATCATGATTTATTACCCATATGAAATAAAGGAAAATGTTTCAGTGCTCACAATTTTTTTAAGGTCAAATATATTCAATCTTATTTTCTTATGCGGCAATGTTATTTTCATAATTTGAACTTATGATGGAAAAACCATAGTGCGCAACTTTTTTCTTTTATATATATGGAAATTCTATATATATATTGATGTAAAGTAATAAATGACTACACATAAAAGTATGATTGAGTAAAAAATAAAAAAAGTCAACCTAATTGAACAGTTTGATTTTCATAATATACGGTTTCATCTTGATTTTTAAATAGGTAAATTGTAATTTACAGTTTAATTGTAATTTTTTATAATTATTATAATTCTGGTTTAATGTTGCATGGTTTTGTTTTTTGATGTTGTCTCAATGCTTTATGTAGATTGAATTCCATTAATATATTTTTTTTCTAATCGAAAAAAAAAAATTTTGTGGTTTAGAACTGAACCTGCCTTTTTAAACACCAAGATCCATATATAATTTGTTACGTTTTGTAGACACTTCTGATTCCTATTCCGATTGTGACATGTTACTTTATCTTAAGTAAATTATGAATAATATTTGGTGATTATGTTTTGAATAAAAATGACAACATTTTTTAAAATTATTGTTTTAAACTGAACCAAATCAGCTTTTATTTGTTCAATTTGATTTGATTTGATTATAAATTTTTCATAATTTGATTTGGGTTATAAATTTCGTAGGACTATATGTTTAATTCTCGATTTACTTCTAAATTAAACCAAATCAAATCATAAACAACCCAAAATAAAGTATTTCAAGAATGCATTAATGACAGAGTAATGCTATATACCAAAACTCTTACTATAAAAAAAAAATGTGAATCCCAATTATTAGATAGTATTGTTCAAAAAAATAAAAATAAAAAATTAGATAGTATATACTCAATATCCACAAAAATAAATAAATAAATAAATATATAACAAGGAACAATGTAGCCACCTAGGGTGTGCATGGTGCAGTTTAAGGATAAAATTATAAAGCAAACTGTGAATGACGGATTAACAAATAACCAAATGGCGGTTTGGGCAATTTGGACAATTTCAACATATTAGTTGATTGAAGAATAATCTTAAATAATTATTCAATATTTGCATAATATATAATACTAATTTACATAATATTTATATATATAAAACATTGACTAATTTTACATAATATTTTTCATATATATAACATTAGTTTACAACAAATTCTACATCTTAAATCTCTGTTAGATCGATTTTAATTTTAATATTTCATTAGAGGTAAAATAAATATATATATATATATATATATTAACTATAGGGGTGCAATTTCAAAGATTGATTATAAATTTAAAATCACGGATCAAATTAACTCACAGTTAGCCGGCGGATCAATTTGGATTGAACCATTTTAACAAATTGAGCTGTATTTTACATAGCTTTAGAGCCACTTTACCAAACAAAAATGCTACAAATAAACTAAGTTTAAATGTCTTAGGAGAATAATATACAATAGATAAACATATTATTTAACAGGGATATTTAGCTCTCATAACAAACATAATCGACAATTTCTTCACCAAATAAACTCAGCCACCTTACCAAACAAAAATGCTACAAATAAACTTGAGCCTAAATGTCGTATGAGAATATAATATACAATAAATAAACATATTATTTAACAAGAATATTTGGCTCTCTTAACAAACATAATCGACAATTTATTCACCAATTACATCCATCTAAAGAACAAACTCATAATATTCGTCTATAATAGTGCAAGTTTATTTAAATCCATAAATGCCATATCAGGTTTTTTGGTTGGTATTATAATAAATATTGCCCTCAGCAGCATCATATCTTCATACTTCCAAAATTAAGCAATTCCTATTGCCAATAAAACATGGTTGCTCTTAAATATTGACAAAATTAAATCAATTCACCATCCAGGAAGAACTATTTCCTTAATTGGAATCGGACTTGTATAGACTAGTAAATTAAACAAAATCTAAAATCATTTGGGTTTCGGGCAACATAATAGGAGAACCCTATTTACGAAAAACAACTTTTCATAAAATATTGACAATTTAAAAGTCTTTGTTGATGTCATGATTGATATTACCAAATCGAGACTATGTTTCATCACGTTTCAATTAAACATTAGACTCATGACTCACGTTTCATCAGGTCTTATATGCTCTCAACAATATATAGAAATTTGTTATCAAACTTTTCTAATCATTTTGAAATATATGTTTCATTATGTTACCAAATGTTATAGTAGATATGTAAGTTATGACATTTGTGGATATGATTATGATAAATGTCATAATTCAATTATATGATATAGTCATAACTAAAAAAAATAAAATAAAAAATGAAACATAACATAAGATATAATTGAACAACTCTTAAATTATAACTAAATTTTTGTCATAACTAATATTGTAATGTGTCACAACTAACAACACTATAGGTCGTAATTAAAGACATAAAAATCATAACGAAAGGTGCATATACCATAGAATTTTCCAACATTTTATAAGCTCTCAATAATATTTCTAATCACCAAATTAGTAAAAGTGGATAGATGATTTTTAAATTTAGCTTGGTTCTCCCTCTGTCTCTCCTCACACACCATCATACAAAGAAACCGAACATGAACATGAAAACAAGAAGAATAATGCTATATGTACCAATTAATGTACTAATTAGTATACTAACCGATGATGAGACACAATTTTAGAGGTTTTATATATTTGTAATTTGTATAATAGGTGGGGTCAGAAATAATGACATAACACTAATTGGTACACTAGTGTGTACATTAATTGGTACATATAGCACCACCGAAATAAAAATGCAAACAAAGACATAACATTTCATTCACTACATCAAATTGCACTTTTGGCGATTATAAATTTAGTCCCCAAAAGTTGAGAAATTGACGACCAAAATTATATTAGTTGCAAAAGTACAATATTTATCTATTAATTTTTTTTAGTTGGGATATATTGATTATTGGTGACGAAAAAAAAAATCTAGTCTGTAAAAATGCCACAATTGACAACGAAAAAATATTTTAGTCGCTGTGTAGTTAGTTTTGACTACTAAAATTATTTAGTCATAGAATTAAAAATAAAAATTTACTTTTTATCTTTGGCCATCAAAAAGTTTGGTCGTCAAAAATTTATTTTTGGCAATTAAAAAATATTTTAGTTCCTGTATCATTAGTTTTGACTACTAAAATTATTTAACCGCCAAATAATAAAAAAAATTATTTTTTATCTTTGGTGACAAAAAAATTTGATTGTTAAAAATTTAGTTTTAACAATTAATTTTTTTTTTTAATAGTCAAAGAAATAAAATAGTTAGAGAAAAACATTTCAAAATTTAGAAGAATTTATAAAATTAATTGGCGGCCTCGCCGATTAACGGGATTAAATCATTTGTTTTCCCGCCCATAAACTCACTGTTCTCTCTCGCTCTCTCTCTCTCCCTTCGAAACTTTTCTCTCTCATACGCTACTCGCTCTCTCTCTCTCTCTCTCTCTCTCTCTCAGTCAGTGTCCTCTGCCCCCCCTCTAGCCCTTTTCTTTCGCCTCTCTCCTCTTGACTAATTAATATACTAACCGATGATGAGACACAATTTTAGAGGTTTTATATATTTGTAATTTGTATAATAGGTGGGGTCAGAAATAATGACATAACACTAATTGGTACACTAGTGTGTACATTAATTGGTACATATAGCACCACCGAAATAAAAATGCAAACAAAGACATAACATTTCATTCACTACATCAAATTGCACTTTTGGCGACTATAAATTTAGTCCCCAAAAGTTGAGAAATTGACGACCAAAATTATATTAGTTGCAAAAGTACAATATTTATCTACTAATTTTTTTTAGTTGGGATATATTGATTATTGGTGACAAAAAAAAAAATCTAGTCTGTAAAAATGCCACAATTGACAACGAAAAAATATTTTAGTCGCTGTGTAGTTAGTTTTGACTACTAAAATTATTTAGTCATAGAATTAAAAACAAAAATTTACTTTTTATCTTTGACCATAAAAAAGTTTGGTCGTCAAAAATTTATTTTTGGCAATTAAAAAATATTTTAGTTGCTGTATCGTTAGTTTTGACTACTAAAATTATTTAACCGCCAAATAATAAAAAAATTATTTTTTATCTTTGGTGACAAAAAAATTTGATTGTTAAAAATTTAGTTTTAACAATTAATTTTTTTTTTAATAGTCAAAGAAATAAAATAGTTAGAGAAAAACATTTCAAAATTTAGAAGAATTTATAAAATTAATTGGCGGCCTCGCCGATTAACGGGATTAAATCATTTGTTTTCCCGCCCATAAACTCACTGTTCTCTCTCGCTCTCTCTCTCTCCCTTCGAAACTTTTCTCTCTCATACGCTACTCGCTCTCTCTCTCTCTCTCTCTCTCTCTCTCAGTCAGTGTCCTCTGCCCCCCCTCTAGCCCTTTTCTTTCGCCTCTCTCCTCTTGCCACCACCGCCATCGCGACGCCGCTGACCACCTCTCATCTTGCCGTCATGGCTTCGCCGACCCATTTCTTCGAGTTCCGCCATGGCTTCAATCATGATCTCTTCTTCCTTCTTCAATTCTCGCAATCCATTCTCTCCCTTGATAATGTTCTTTCGATTTCTTGTTTGTTCCCAAATCAAAGCCCTAAATTTCGCTTGATTTGTTGATCTGATCTGATTTGACCTGAGAAATCGTATACAGTTTTAATGGCTTCAGCGAAGTCGTCTCGGTCAAGGATACTGAATAACACTGCAGCGAAGAGCAACAACCCTAAGGACTCGGGCAATAAGCTCCAGGAAAATCTCAACGTCTTCAAGTCCGATAATTTCGATGCCGATGGCTTTGTACAGTCCAAGTGTAATTCCCTGAACGAGAAGGTCTGATATCCAATCCTTTCTCGTCGTGGAATTTATCAATTGATTCTGAAAAAAATTTACTAAAATTTATTGGGTATTTGATTTTCTTTTGATTATTGATAGAAATTGGTTTGGATTGAATAATTGGAACTTTTGTTTGGGAATTTGAATTGAATTCTTTTTATTGGGAATAAAAAAAATGTCTTGGGCATTTTATTTTCTTTTGATTATTGATAGAAATTGGTTTGGATTGAATAATTGGAACTTTTGTATGGGAATTTGAATCGAATTCTTTTTATTGGGAATAAAAAAAATGTCTTGGGCATTTTATTTTCTTTTGATTATTGATAGAAATTGGTTTGGATTGAATAATTGGAACTTTTGTTTGGGAATTTGAATTGAATTCTTTTTATTGGGAATAAAAAAAATGTCTTGGGCATTTTATTTTCTTTTGATTATTGATAGAAATTGGTTTGGATTGAATAATTGGAACTTTTGTTTGGGAATTTGAATTGAATTCTTTTTATTGGGAATAAAAAAAATGTCTTGGGCATTTTATTTTCTTTTGATTATTGATAGAAATTGGTTTGGATTGAATAATTGGAACTTTTGTTTGGGAATTTGAATTGAATTCTTTTTATTGGGAATAAAAAAAATGTCTTGGGCATTTTATTTTCTTTTGATTATTGATAGAAATTGGTTTGGATTGAATAATTGGAACTTTTGTTTGGGAATTTGAATTGAATTCTTTTTATTGGGAATAAAAAAAATGTCTTGGGCATTTTATTTTCTTTTGATTATTGATAGAAATTGGTTTGGATTGAATAATTGGAACTTTTGTTTGGGAATTTGAATTGAATTCTTTTTATTGGGAATAAAAAAAATGTCTTGGGCATTTTATTTTCTTTTGATTATTGATAGAAATTGGTTTGGATTGAATAATTGGAACTTTTGTTTGGGAATTTGAATTGAATTCTTTTTATTGGGAATAAAAAAAATGTCTTGGGCATTTTATTTTCTTTTGATTATTGATAGAAATTGGTTTGGATTGAATAATTGGAACTTTTGTTTGGGAATTTGAATTGAATTCTTTTTATTGGGAATAAAAAAAATGTCTTGGGCATTTTATTTTCTTTTGATTATTGATAGAAATTGGTCTAGATTGAATAATTGGAACTTTTGTTTGGGAATTTAAATTGATTGAATGCTAGAATAGCGAATTCTTGGCATTATGTAGTTTCTTTTATTGATATCTTCGTCTTTATTTATTTATTTATTTATTCTTTGTTATGTGACCAGATTTTTGATAATGTAGCTTTAAAACTCTTACATGCAAGTACCTAGATTACCAAGACTTGCTTCTGTATTATTATGAGTATACCTAGTATACCTGAGAAATTTACAACCTTCTCCTATGTCAGCTTTGTTAATTGAACCTCTAGGTAGTTTTTCCCTGCTTGGTAATAAATGCATCTAGAGTGATGGGGGAGGTTTGTTGTTTAATTCAACTGTTGACCATGAACATTATAGATGAAACTCAGTTGACTTGAGTTTCATATACACAAACTGGGCTTTTGGGGGTTGACTACATTTCTTAGTGGGGGTAATGATTCATTTGCATATTGCTGAGTCTTGTCTTTGATAGTGTACCACTTTTAAGAAGCATGGATATGGATACATGACATGACACATGGGATTTTTTTATTTTTTATTTCAAAACAATCTAGGACATAACGCGGCAATGACACACCAACTAATAAATATATAATTTTAGATGTGTACTTGAAAATAATAATTTATTCATAATTTTTACATTACAAATATATTTTTTTATATCAAAATAATAATAAATCATTTTTTGCAACTAACATACTGCAAAAGAATTGTGAACAAAAAAAGTTATAATATCTATTTTAGAAAGCTTTCATTATAAACAAGTTGAAAATTTTCGGGTTTAAGAATCCTCAAAGTTCAAGTATATGGGAAGACTGATTAATAAGGTATAAATCTATATTATTTTTATTTTATCATTAAGTTAAAATAATTTTTTCGAAATTGAATTGTGTTTTTTTGTGTGTTTTCTAGTGTTTGAAGTGTGGCTAGTTCTGAAAATATTTAAAAAGGAATAGGATACGTTTGAATGTGTGTCCAACACATCGGGGAGAATCCAACAAGAGTTAGTGTCCAACATGTGTTCGACATTGACACATCTTAGAAGTCTCCATGCTTCTTAGGTTCCACTTCTCTTTTTTGAATGGACTAAAAAAGGGAATATTAACAGTTAAAGTAATATATAGTTCTACACCTTGTCCGTGGATATGTTAAGAGGAGACAATATGATACAATTCAATTGATTATATAAATTACAGCACTTGATGCGTATGTTATGAAAATTCAACAATTGAGTTTTTACTGAATGACAAAAGAAGTGTTAATGAAGAGAAAGATTAAAGAAGCTATAAAAATTTGAAATTTAAAATGAAAAAGTGAGATAGTTATAGAGCAATATATATTTTTTTTTTGGATAAGCTTCACTGGGATGTAAATTTCACATAATAGAATAAATACTGAAATAAGTTATTTTGTGTGAATTAGTTAAAATGAGAATTGTCATGTGGGTTAGGTCTTCCCCAACTCTTGTAGCTTTCTCTATCAATGATCTCATCTTCAATATTCAGCAAGTTCAATTTTGTGTTAGAAATGGTGGCTGAATAGCACTCTGTTTTGGTGAGTTGTTGTTGGTTTTAGGCGGAGCCTGTTTGGCTACTGTATCTTTGTATTGAACCTTTCCAATCTGCTGTTGCTACGGGAATGCGCATGATTGGTCTTAGCCTTGGGTGCTAACATAGTTGGGATGTGAGGTTTTGACAATGATGCAACTTCATCCCTTAGCCTATCTATTGTATTGTTCTTATTATTAATAGGGGGATTTGGTCAAAATTCTCTCATAATAAAATTTAAAATTTTAATGCATTAAGGATAAGCACAAAAAGTTTTCTTTAAAAAGTCAACACATATCACTATTACCAAAATATTAAACTTTAAAATAATATAACTTTTGATCTAGATGTCGTTTTTTTAATAAAATTAGTATTTTTAAAATTCTCTCATCAGGATCTATCAAATAATATCCATGTTGACTATGAAATTCTTAAGAAAAAAAAATTATTATTGTTGAAATTGATGTAAATAGTAACATATTACTTTGTTTGACAGTAACCTGTTTTTCTGTCTCACAGTAACATATTACTCTGGTTCACAGTAACATGTTACTCTGGCAATATTGTCCAAGGAACAAAAAAAGATATTTAACTTTGTCGTTACTTAATTATGTGTCTACTCTTTAGGGGGTTTATAAAGTAAAATAAATTGAGTTGTCATTTTCACTAAACAAGGGTCCAATAGAAGGATTTTGGCTGAATTTCCCGTAATATAATTCCTCCTTTTGCTGAGAAAAAAAAAAAAAGAAAAAAGAAAATTTTGTGTTTAACTAAATGTTGAAATTTTGTTGTTGGTGATTTTGGGTGGGTGGGATTCTAATTGGTACATGGGGATATATAGGGTTGTCAACTAGTTTAGCTAGAATTAAACACAAACAAAAGTTATTGGGGTTGGTCATTGGCCTAGTGAATTAAGTTTGGGATCAATTAAAAAAGTCATATTTTTTTTTTCTCTTTAATTTAGTGAATTTATTCTACATTTATATCAGTGTTTTTTTGTTTCTTATAATTTTTTTTAGTCTGTCTAACCTACAAAGATCTATAAAAAAGAAAGAAAGAAAGAAAAAATAACCTAAACAAAGTAATATTTTTTTACTCTATTTTTTTTTAGTAAATTTTTTTCATCAACTCTTTAGTCTTTGATCCATTTGATGACTTTTACGTATGTGTTAGTTAGTCTTGGATTGAAAGCTGAAACCAATGAATAACAAATATAATTGGTGTGTGGTGGTAACAAGGAAGACAAGAAAGAGCATAAAGGATTGCTATATTATATTATGGCTCTGTTTTGGATCAAGCAGATTAATATGACATTGAATATGGAAAGAATTATCAAGGGAATGGTATTAGTAACCATGTTTATGCAGAATAACCCTATGTATATAGACAATAGATTCAGAATACATTAAAAGGATTTGTTGCTAATAAAGCTCCCAATTTGGTTTGTTCTTTATTTTGAAGGATGGCATTTGGTGCACTAGAGGTTGATGAGCAATGTAAATTGAGACTAATGTACATCTTGCAAATTGCTGCTGCTCGGCATATTATTAACATAGTTTGATCCTTTTTTAAATAACCTGCATATTATTATTGTTTGATCCTTTTTTATAGGATTCTTCATTCCTTGTGTTGTGAATTTGTAACGCGAAAGTAGATTGCAAATGAAACCCTCTTCTTGCCCTTTTTCTAGGTTCATAAAACCAGGCTATAAAATCACCAAAAAAGTTGCTTTTTTTACCTACAAAATAAACGTTAAGAATGTTTAGGGTAGTTTATTACAAATTACTAGTTTATATTTTTGGAAAACTTAGAGTTATAGACACATCTCCTATTGCTTCTTAATAATTTCTAAGTGTGGATGAATTTTTTAACATTCTAGTCCTAACATACAACTCACCGATATTCATAAATTGTAGTCTTCTTTATAATATAAACCTCATATTTTGTAGTTTCTAACACTTATTTAAACATTTTGTAGATTAATTAATGTTATGGTTGTTGTGACAGTTGAGTTTTTCGGACCGCTTGAGCGGTCATTTGGTCGTTCAAGCGGAGATCTTCAACTCCCAGTTGTTGGCTGTTTTGCAGGCGGGACTGCTCGAGCGGTGAAGTTGTCGCTCGAGCGTAGAATTCATACTACTAGTATTTTTACTGTAGCTCTACAAAACTTCTAGGACCTCTTATTTTTCACTCGAGCGATCCTTCCAAATTTGTATTGTTCGCTCGAACGAAGGAAATTGCGCTCGAGCGATCAGTTGGGAAGCAAATTTTTAAAAGTTGATTCTTATTCCTTTTCTCTCCACTTTTTCATATCACTCTCTCTCACCGTATTTTCTGAAAGCCCTAACTCACAAACCTTAGATTTCTCTAACTTCAACCCAAGATTTCCTCAAAATCATCCAAGGAAAGTTGAAAGGAATTCTCAAGCCTAGCTTCCTATTTCGAGGTAAGGGTGTCTTTAACTCGCTATATCTTCAATTTGAAACACTTATGTGGTAATTTCATTAGCTATTCATATTGTGTATGTATATATATGTATGTATGTATATGTATGGATTGTGTTGCTAGTAAGTGATTTGGAAAATGTAAGGGATATTCTATGATTATGGATGAAATCACGTTAATCATTGAAGATTATTATAAGTAATGACGAGAGTTCATCTCCAAGTTATACATTAGAGAGATAAACCCTACATTTGAGACTTATTTAATAAAGTGGGGTTTTGTTCAATTGGTTTCAAAAACATGAAATTGAATGTCTTTAAGGTTGAAATGTAGGATTAGAAGCTTTTCTCTATATGCACCTTGAGTCGATAAGGATTGGTAATGAGGTGTCCTTCAATGATGATGTGAGAAGTATGAAATTTCTATGATTTGAAATCATCTTAGGGAAAATTAAAGCTTTGCAAATTCATACATAGTCTATGTTTTCGGGTAGTGAGTCGGGCTAGGTTTGAGTTGTGTAATGTAATTGGTACCCGCGCGGGGAGTCAAGGTGCCCAATTGCTCTGTCTGCGTATATCGCCGGACGAATGTGGGAAAATGTTTTTGGGTGTCCACAAGCCCACCGTTTCTGGAACTGCCAAATGTGGAAAAACATGGTTTTGGGTGTCCATGTCCCCCCCGTTTATGGAGCCAGCAAATGTAAAAGGGAAAATGTTTTTGGGTGCTCATTGCCTCGCCGTTTCTGGAGTCGGCAAATGTGGGACTATTTTCAGTATGCAAATCTATATCTATATATGTATGCTTTGAATTTTGGCTCTTACTTGGGATGTCATAGTATATTTACCACCCGAGGATATTGTGAAAAGATGGAACAATTTCATGCATCGCATATTTTCACTCATATACCTAGACGCTTATATGCTACTTCATTTACGTATTTCAAATGTTGCATTGCATGATCATGGGTTATTCAATTGGCTATATAACTTGTTAAATTCATCACCTACTGAGCTTATGCACAATCCAAAGTCAACAGATTTTAGGAAAAGAAGATGAAGTGCCTACCAAGGGATGATTTTGATATGGAGAAACCTTTTTGGAATCGGGATACAATTCTTTTGAAACCCTATTGGTCTTGGGTCTTTGAACTGTTTTGTAATTGTATATTTGTGTTGAAGTTGTTGTACTATGGGACACATCTTGAAAGGAAGTAGACTTGGGATTTAATTGTCGTAGATGTTTCTTACTCTTTGAATTGTTTTGTTGTGTTATGTATGTAAGAAGACGACATTGTAAATCTTTGGGAGATGGTTCAAAGGGAAAGAAATGTAAAGAATGTTATAATTTGGTTATTATGTATGTTTCTATTTTGTATGTGTTGTGTGATGGAAAAGCCTGGGGGAACAATATCTGGGATGGTTCTTTTCAGGGCGTTATAGTTGTCTTTAACCTCTTTCAGATGGCCCAAATAGACAAGGGTTGGATGGGTATCAAGAAGGGGTGAATTCATTTATTGAATTTGCGACGAGAAATGTAGGCCTAGAGGATAAGATATGGTGTCCATGTATCGATTTCTTGAACGACAAAATACATACGATCCACATTGTTAGGATTCATTTGACTCGAAGAGGGATCTCTCTTTTTTACAAGACTTGGGTGATGTGACGTTTCAAAAATCGGGAACATCAGGTAACATATTAACAAAATACATGATTTTTCTAAGGTTGCAAATCTAGGAAATGTCACTAACGAGTCATTTGGTCAATAATTAAGTAAGATACCAAGAAAGATTGGAGGAGTCAATATTGACTCCTTTCAAAGTCCAATGTCCTTAGATAGCGAAATTACATTTTTGACAGATCTTAACAAGGTATTAACTCAAAGTCTACATAAATTGACTGAAGGATAAGGATAAGTTCACAAAAGATATATGTATATATAAGTAAAATAATAGTTACAAGATCATATCTTAATTACGACAAGAGTTTTAACACTTAAACTCCCAAAACATGATTACTAATTCCTAGTTCTTCTAGGATAGATATATGTCTTCAAATGTTTATGCTTCGTCGCCATCTGTGTAGAATTCATCAACACTTGGCATGAAAAGTCATGAGCTTGGAATGCATAGTAAACGCACACACACCTCTTCCCTTTTTTCCAATCTAATACACAATTGCAATTATAACAATTGAGTAATGAAGCATGATATTCAAGTCAATAACAAAGGATTACAAGGTTAGATGTTAGTAATCTAGAAATTTTCCAAAGAGATCTCATCATCCTAACCGCAAGACTTGGACTCAGATTATTCAGTATGTCCCTTCTTTTGCTGTTTTGCAGACCTTACCCCATATGCCTATAACGGTTATGTACTGTATAGCGCCAACCGAAGACCTTAAAAGAGGCGAAAAAAATGAGGCCCTTACCTATAACCTCTTCCAACCTTATCCGTCATAAATACCTAGGGTCCGAATATGGAAGACTTATCTTTTAATTCGGGAACATGTTCCATCAATCCATACCTAACACATTATCATCTCATCATTATTCAAGTGATTGAAAACCCAATATCACCCCATTTAGTTTCTCCTTGAGTTAGATATTTTAAGTGAAGGTTAGAACAAACTATTGAGACAATAATTCCTATATAAGTATGAGCATCATCAAAGCACCATAGTAAAGAAATATAGGCACAACAATGTAATTATCATACTATAGCCCAAACAAGAGATGAGAATCACATTCATAAAGTTAAGAGTATGAAATCATTAATAAACATAAATTTCTAGATTAGATACACTTTAAAGATCACAGTCTAAGAGACATTTCTAGATTTTTCCCTAACTCGGACTTTCTATTGTTTGTAGATAATTTTATTTGGTTTCTAAATCATCTTTCAAAAATAGGACAGCACTATTCATATTTGTCGACTGTTACAAAAATTGGATTTTCTCTTAAACCAATCACTCTTTTTCGATAAAATCATTTTAATTGAAGGATAACACTTTAAGGAAAATTTTGATACAAAAATGAGGTCAAGATGATTTTTCTGCATTTTTCTATATTTTTTGAAAATGAGCTGAAAATACCAGTCTTTCTTGCACAAATTTGAAATAAGAAGAGTAATTGATAAAGGGAGAAACCATGAGTAATTTTTCACTTCTCTTATTATGAAACATGCTATATAATATATGAATAACTCAGATTTTTAGAATGAAGGTATGCTTTTGGAAATAATGTGAGAAATGGATAGAAAAAGATAACCCTTGTTTCATTTTAAGGAAGAATTCATACAAGGTGACAATTAAGGCTTAACTCTTCTTATTTAAACACATGAACACCATATATACACATCTGACCATTAATAATTCAAGCCTCTAAAGCATGTATTTGAATGAGAAAATAAAAGAGAGGGTTGTGTTGTGGCTTACTTTCTTGCCTAAGGTTGGTGTTGTGTAAGTTTGCTCTCTTTTTCTTCCTTCTCCTCCCAAAACTCACTCTTGCTCTTCCCTCCCTCTCTTGGCTGAATTATATGTGTATGTTTTTGAGTTGTGCAAAAATGCTAGGGGAGGGTGGTGTATTTATAGGAAAAAAGTGGTGAATTGTTTAAAATGCCCTTGGTTCCAATGGAATGAAAAAGTTTTAGATTTACTTTGAATGTAATGGAATGCAGGAATGAAAAAGTTTTAGATTTACTTTGAATGTAATGTAATTGAATGTAATAGAACTATATTGAAATTAAGTACAAGACAAAGTTCCAGAAATTTAGTTCCAAGTCAAAATATCTTCCTTATTTTCATGAAATTTGTTTCCAAGGTACACCACAAGAATCTCCATGGCAATGTGCTTCAATTGACTAGGGTTTTTGAGGGATTTTCCATTTGAATGTAATGGAATGCAGGATGATTAGGGAGCCTAATTATGTATTAAAACATGAGATAGTTAGGGTTAGGCTTAAGTAGAACTATATTGAAATTAAGTACAAGACAAAGTTCCAGAAATTTAGTTCCAAGTCAAAATATCTTCCTTATTTTCATGAAATTTGTTTCCAAGGTACACCACAAGAATCTCCATGGCAATGTGCTTCAATTGACTAGGGTTTTTGAGGGATTTTCCATTTCATTTTTGTGTACAAATTCATCTTAAAATAGTGTACTTATGGAAAAAGATTTTTATAATGAAGTGTACAATTATATATATAATACAATGAATTTGAGGCAAATGTGCAATTTTAATGAAGTGTGAGGGTTTTGGGCTCAATTTATGAATTAAAATATCTATTTCAAATGTTGAATTTTTTAGAAATAGTGTTAGGAAAAATAACTCGGTTGAGTTGTTCCGCTTTGAATTAAAAGGTGAGTAATTGAGCGAAAATGATGAAAATTGGAAATTAGGGTTTTGAGTGATCAATCTATAATTAGAGAGTTCAATAATTAGTATGAGAGTGTTAGGAATGATTACTAAGCTACCAAGGTCAATTAGGATTTGCACGGTTTCGTCCGGAATGCGTTTTCAATCCAAAGGTTAAATTTGCGATAAGGTGAAAATTCAAGGTCTAAATTGTAATAATCTCAACGTTAGAGTTTCAAAAGAAATTACGAAAGTTGGGGTATCTACAGGTGCACCATGTGGAACATGTTTCCATGGCTTAAACCCTCATACTGAATGAAGGTCACCATGACATATATAGTGAAATTGAAGGGGAAGATAGGATGACA